TTACAGAGCGCATTGTCTACCGAAATCACATGCACGTGGCTTATACCCCGAGCTTCGAGTTGCTGTAGGGTGCCCGACTGACTTAACGCGTGGTATATACCACCATTTCCATCCGGGGCGAGCGCGAGCTCCGTGCCACTTTGCAAAAACAGCTTGCCATCAGGTGAAAAGGCCGGTAGAGTGTCCTGGGGGAAAAAGACAACATCCGACTTCGCCATACCATAGTACCTAGCAGCTTCGAACGCTTGCTGGGTCTCTTTGATGTTGAGCAAGGAGGCCATCACGACAAGTGGTGGCTGTACTCCACAGAATGCCTTCAACTTAAGTAGCCGCTCGGCAAGTAAATGAAAAAGACACTTTTTAGACGGCAGTCCAACATCAAATAATCCCTTCGGCCCGTCGAAACCGAGGCGTGTTCCCTGACCGCCTGCCATCACGATTGCTGCGACAGATCCTCTCCTTAAAGCCGCCAATCCTAAAGCACCCCAGGATTCAATATGCTCGGTCGACACTTCCAGTACGCTATCAATATCATGTGTCAGGAGAGGTGATATTTCTGCCGAGCACTTTTTTGAGCTTGCTGATTTATTGGCAGCTTCATAGATGGCGCTGATCCGGGCCAAGTCCAGGGCATCCAACGAAGTCAGAAAGGACGCTGTTTCCGTCTTATCAAAATGACCGCGCTCCACGAACTCAAATACGTGCTCCTGCCCTTTGGCAGCGAAACGTTCCCGAATATTTGATGAAATCGGGACATACATCCGAAGTGGGTAAGGCAAGTTTGAGGGGGGGCAAGTTTGAGCTTTGGAGACTTGTTCGACCGGCGCACAGCGGCCAAACGCTTGCGTTTGGAGCTCTATCGATGCATCTGGTTCCGCCACTAAGATTACATGGCAGTAAATCCGGATACCAGTAATTCCCGTGAAATTGCATTTACGGCAGTACAATATGTTTCCGGTAACGAGTTAGTGAGTTTAGACCACCTATCATCATCCAGCTAAATAAAACTGCTGGTTGTGGTGGTCCTCTCCCAGCTCGCCGCTTCCCCGGGGTCCGGGGTGGCGCGGCTTATATTTTTGGTCATATGGTTTCTACTAACATCCAAGGGTTGGGTTTGAATGATGAGTTGCTGAGGCATTATAAGGAGGAGGTAACTGAAATGGCCTTGGGTATTTTGGATGACAAGCCTTTCGACTCGCCCATCCATGAGGGCATACTCCTGACTTGTATGTTGGAATTTCTACCATATGATGACTCTGATAAATCATATTTTTCTGAGGGAAGGTTTCACAGTTACTTGAGCAGCCTTAATGACGAGATAATCGAGGAGAGACGCAGAACGGAGCCCCCTGAACCCGCGTCACCGAATCAGACGCTGATGCAGATTCAGCAGACTCTGGGTCAGTTGGTTGG